ACTTATAACGCAACTTAGATATTCCCAAAGGGGTAGTCCATGTGCAAGATGGTAGTGAAAAAAAAAATGATGTGAGGTGAGAAGTGTGATAGGGCTCAATGATTGGCTTGATATTGAGTATTTCACCTTCCATAAACTGTGCTTTATTTTTTGTTTGAGTAGAAATGTATTTCATAAAACCTTCACCTTTATTACTATATATAAGAGAGCGCATCATGTTAGATTATAGCTCACCAATAATGCTTTATGTATTTGATATTGTGTAATTGTCTGTGGAAATTCAGAATTGCACTTTTCTAAAATGAATGCAATGTCAACATAAATCACAAAAGGCACTTTTCATTCGTACAATCTATAATAGTTTGCCTTCTCACACAACACGTAATGATTCACCAATTTTTCTTCGCTCAAAAATAATTGATATAGCAGTCATATAATTGAATCTTTCCACGATTACTGATGACTTGCTTTCTTATTAGACAAGAAATATCTCAGAAATAGTGAAATTGACTTCAAATTTTCCATCATCTGATATTTGAGCAGCATAATCATTCATTTCGAATTGACATGTTGAGGTAGTTGACAATGTTTCTTCGTTCATTTCATTAGTTCGGACTTCCATCGTTGACATTCAGCCAAGCTAGCGTAGAGATACGCAACATATGAAAACCTCTAATCAATTGGAACACGACCAACACTCGCCAAAACGGTCAGCTTCCACCAAATACCATGAAGCGGTGAGAGAGGAATTGAAATCACTCGAATAACATGTAAATAGTCAGATCTCGATGAAATGAGTCCAGTTAACACCCGAAGACGATTGTGGATACAAATAATCGAAACATCGTGAAGTAACTTGGTTTGGAGTCTTCTGATTTTTCATTTCAATTCTTTGTTGATAACTTTTAATTTTCATCCCGTGTTGGAAGTTTTTTTTTTGTTGTTGCTTGTATTTCATTTCATTGTAATTTCAGTTTTCTGTTCAATATAATTGTTATTTTTCAGCTAATCTCTTTTTTAATTTTTTACAAAATCTTCCAGGTATTTCAAATCATTCTATATTATATTAGACAATGGAATTCTAAACTGATGATGAAACAAATTGACATAATTTTCTTATTTTCTTTGAGTTAACCTCATAGGCAGTACTCCATAAAAGGATTTTTTTTATCACTATTCAATTCCAACTCATAAACATTAACAAAAATGTTACTCAGTTTTTCAAATTTATTGACTTTCATGAGCATTTCTTTACCTCCAGTATTTAATATAAAATTCTATGGAAGATATTATTTTGTGTATCGATAACCTCTTGTGGGTGGGTAATTTTATTTTCCTGTGCTAAGATTCATTAGAGGAATAATAGTGTGCCACAATAATAGAGTGTCTGTGCAGGGTTTTTTGTTAGTAGTATAGCTAAATTGGTTCTAGATACAATGGTAATCATGCCATCGAGCTGTCCATCGAGAGCGTAAGGGGTGCGGTTGTTTGGGGTGAAGAAGTGTGTCAAAAAGGCCTTGTTGGTGAAGAACAATGGTGTGACAAAGAGTTTTCGAGCAGCCCTTGTTCTTGTAGATCGTCAATGACCAGAGGGTTGTGATGGTCAATGACCAGAGGGTGTTGTAAGAAGAGGCCTCGGTTGGTGTAGGTTAGCCGTGTCGTAGAGACTTTTCGGCTCAGTGAATCATCTTCGGCCAACCCTCTTCAGCCAACCCTCTTCGGCCAACCCTCTTCGGCCAACCCTTTTCGGGCAACCCCTGTTCGGGCACCCTCATCAGGCGATCCCTTTTCGTTAAACCATGTACCCAGGCGTATGCCAATGTGTTTTATTCGATGACTTTGTCAGTGCGCCAGTTGACCTTGAGACAACTTTGTTGCAGTTAATTAGGATATTTTCGTTGCATATCGTTGGAATACTTGTTGTTTGCCTGATAATAAACCAGATTAGCTGACCTTAAGATCATATGTATAAGTAAACATGAATACTTTGTTGCACTCAATTAGGATATTTTCGTTGCATTTTGTTGAAATATTGGTTATTTTACTGATAGAAAACCAGATTAGCTGACCTTAAGGTCACATGTATTGTCAAATATAGGAAATGAACATGAAATAATTCAGATTCATTCAATTACATACATGAATTGAAAGATGTTCCAACGTCACTTCAATATTTTAACACAAGAACACTCAGTATTGAGAATCCCATCTTTTAATATTTCAAGTTCATAGACATCGAAATTGATCCGATCACAGGATATGGAATATAAAACAATCCAAATACGCAAACTTGGCACAGATTGCATGCTGTGCATTTTACCGCAGTACAGTGACCGGATCAAAGTCGCAATGTCAGCGTATAATTCTTTATAAATATTGAGGGAGGTCAAGATCATGGATCATAGTTAACAGTCAACAGACAGTATTCAGTATTCATTTGAGTATCGATTAATCATCAGCAATGCAGCACATCTCCTTCTCTTCGTTCCTGCTGGGTGGCAGTATAATGTAAGTTTTTGATTGTTTCATTGTATTATTTTTATTAACATTTGAGCGTGAGTTAATCTAAAATATATTTTTTTCGTTTCTATTACAATAAATATTCAATTAAGTTTAAATGAGTTTTGGATGAATGAATGAAAGGGTGAAACAGTAAATAGTAAATAGCCAAGCGAGAACTGAGTTGCGACAGTATAATTAAACATGAATACTTTGTTGCATTTCGTTGGAATATTTGGTATTTCACTGATAATACACCAGATTAGCTGACCTCAAGGGTCATATGTATGATTGAACATGAATATTGTGAAAAAGGAAATACGTAATTTATTAACGTTTATTAATTAGTAGGTATTCACAATGTATGGGTTATTTTCAAAAATTCATCTTTTTCAGATGACAATAAGTATACATAACAAATTTCTGGTAAAGGTAAATATTTTTTGAGATTAATATTTGCATATTCATAAAAATCTTCTACAGTTGTCCACCACAAACCTCTGTAAGTTATGGATGGTTTATGGAATTGTTCAATGCTATGATGTCCGCACATTAATCGGCTTTTGAATGGAACAATGGGATGAAAGTTTTCGTGTGATCCAATAACGTATCCGCACCTATACTTTTTTCCTTTGTCCTTACATGTTACCGTAGAATCTGAAAAAATGAAAGAATAATTACAAAAATGTTTGAGGAATATTGTTCGTTTATCTTACATAACGGTATTGATTTTTCAGAGTAGAAAGCTGGATATTCATTCAAAATAATCGTATCTGGATGTACTTCCATTAATAAAAAGCTACCATTTTCTAACTTGTATGGTGTATTGATAAAAATAGTAATATTTTTATTCAATTTTAGTAATTTTTATTCAATTTTCATGTCGATCAATTATTCAGTTACATGATTTGTTTTCCGTGCGATTTACAATTCAATTACGATTTACAATTCAAATGTTTTATCATATAATCATATATTACACAATCTGTAACCACCTAAGCTAGGCTTGTGTCGTGGCTACAGACTGATATAAGGTGTGTTATATAATGTATAATAAAATAGATACAAAAAAAGAAAAAACTAAAATAGGTCGTTTGGTTACATAATACTATCCACCTCACTAGGTTAAAAACCGCAGTTGGAGAATGATGGCTATAGTGAGGAAATAAGAAGAGAGAAAGAGAGAGCAGGTAATTTAACTTAAACATTCTCAAAGATATCCTGCAATTGATCATAATGATTTCTGATGAAAACTATCAGTTCCTTCTTCAATTTATGATAATTATTAATATTCTTCAAATGGAGTGGTAGCTTATTGTATAATTTCGGGCCAAAATATGTCACAAATTTCTAGTTATGACTCAATCTACAGCGTGGTATGGTAATTGCTTGGTTGGAGGTCATTCGCGTATTATATTTATGTGAAATGCTGTTAATGGGGTTCCTACAAATCCATGATAAACATTGATGAGCGTATAATTTTCTGACTTTGAACAAACCACTTTGTTCATAAAGTAACTCTGTAGAATATCTCCTATCCTTTTTCAATGCGATTTTGATCAATGTATTTTGTATAACATCAAGATAATGTGGTGATGTTTTGGATAAGCCACCCCATACTGAGATGCAGTATCTAATCATCGACTCCACCAAGGCACCGTACACCGTCAGTAATGCATCTCTACTTAGGATACGTCTCAGTTGGTAAAATTTCCGAATCAGTTTGCGGAGTTTTTTCACTATGTGATCTATGTGATCATTCCAGCGTAGAAATTGGTCGATCATGACACCTAAATATCTGATAGAATGTGTTTTATATATTCGGGAACATCCACAGTTTTGGTTTTCTGTACACGTGAATTTGTGAATCTACGTGAAGTGATGGTTGAAGGGAATCTCGATTCATCTCGGTTGGAGAAAGAGAAAAAATATCTCAGTGACATGTTGGCTGTGTTGAACCACATAATTCAAAGTCAGCCAGATCGTGGAAAAATGGTTGATCCAACTGTTGATTCTTCAGAGTTCGACATGGATAGCGAACAAATGACAGTGAAATATGTGCGGCGAATGAGAGAGAATCAATTTCGAATGGAGGAAGAGGAGAAATATCTCAGTGACATGTTGGCTGTGTTGAACCACATAATTCAAAGTCAGCTAGATCGTGGAAAAATGGTTGATCCAACTGTTAATTCTTCAGAGTTCGACATGGATAGCGAACAGATGGCAGTGAGATATGTGCAACGGATGAGAGAGAATCAGTCTCGGTTGGAGAAAGAGGAGAAATGTCTCAGCGACATGTTGGCCGTGTTGATCCACATAATTCAAATTCGGACAGATCGTGTGAAAATGGTTGAAACTGCTATTGATTCATCAGAGTTAGACATAGAGAGTGACGAAATGATAGTGAGATACGTGCAGCGGATGAGAGAGAATCAGCCGCAGTTGGAGAAAGAGAAGGAATATCTCAGCGACATGTTAGCAGTGTTGATCCACATAATTCACCGTCGCACAGATCGTGGAAAATTAGTTGAACCAACACTTGATTCATCAGAGTCGGACATGGATAGCGAACAAATGGTAGTGAGATACGTGCGACGGATGAGAGAGAATCAATGTCGGTTGGAGAATGAGGAGAAACATCTCAACGACATGTTGGCCGTATTGAACCACATAATTCAAAGTCGAACAGATCGGGAAAAGATGGTTAGACAAACTCTTGACCCATCAGAAGTTAACATAGATAGCGACAAAATGGCGGTGAGGTATATGCGGCAGATGAGGGACAATCAATCCCGTTTGGAGAACGAGGAAGCCATGTTAGCCATGTTGAAGAACATAATCCAGAGTCGAACGGATCGAGAAAAAATGGTTGATCCGGCTCTAGAATCACAAGATTTGGACATGGATAGCGACGAAATGGCGGTGAGATATGTGCGGCAGGTGAGAGACATTCAATCCCGATTAGAGAAAGAGGAGGAAACTCTCAGCGACATGTTGTACCACATATTTCCTGAAAAACGGAATTGTCAAATTTGTAATGCGATGATGTCCAACAGTCATGTATGTGTTACGTGCCAGACGGCTGCCACTGAGGATGCTTCCCAACTGATTCGAAATCGAACACATCGTGAAGGAGTGCTTGACTTGACTCTNAAACTGTGATTTATTATATAGAATATCAAAATTTGGGATTTTGAAGTTTTCGAAGTCTTGCAGTATCCACGTTTCAGATAAGATTATTATATCCATATTTTTTGTTTGTATATTTTCCAAGTATATTAGAAGTTCATCAAAATTTTTGTTTAGACTCCTGATGTTGAAATGAAATATGTTAAAAATTTGCTTACCACTCCATTGATTTTTACTCTCTTCGAAATTGTGACAAACTGTTGTTTCCATCTTCTCATCATTCTCCATAAATTCCAAAAATTCCAACATATCAGTTTTGAAGTTTAAGCGAATATTGATTTAGCAAGTAGATATCAGAAATTGTAAATTGCTCCTATGCATATAATGTTAATAATTCATTATCATTGCCAGGTCATGAAGTATTAACAATTGAAAATCAAGTATCCAGAGAGGAAAAGAAAAGAAGAAAAATATTATTATTATCAATGAACATAGTACATTAGTACATCATGTTAACTGTGTTGTGTATTGAGTAATGTCAGCAACACAACTTATTTTAACATTGCGCCCCTCATGCTTGATGTAGATGGACCCCTTGAAACTCCATGCATTTCTCATACCAAAAACGTTTTGTGCTTCTTTCAGGATAATTCTATGTTTTTTTGTCAGGTCTTCTGCAATGGCTATTTTCTTTCCTTTGAACTTATAAGAATCTTTAAACAGCTTGGATTTCAATTCCGTGTTTGCTAACTTCAGTATAATAGGTCTGCTTTTATTAGGTTTATCCATTTTCCTGCCTATTCTGTAGCATCCAACTATATTGTCATTTCCTAAATTCAGACCAGTATTTGTATTGATTATGGATTTGATTTTATCTCGCAAGTTTTCTTCCTCATCAGCATCTTCGTTTACCCCGTATACACAAACATGGGTGGCTTTCATATTCTGATATATATCATCGACTTTTTGTTCCAGGAGATAATTGGTCTTTTCCATTTTATCCACTTTTTGCTGTAGATGGGACGTTCTTTCAGCCTGAGTTTTTAGTTCCTCTTCTAGTTTCTTCAGTTTTTGTTCAATTTTGTCTGTTACCTTTTTTACTATTCCACTAATGAAATCTCGATCTTGGAATATTTCTTGATTGGATTCTTTTATGAGGGAATTAATTTCTTGTTTGTTTCTGGTCACAGACATAACTTGGCTTGGTGTGGTTTCGTTGTGAAATGACACGCACACTATGATTTATCGTTCTTCACTTTTCACGGGATTTTACAACAACTTTGTACCGACTAAAACCTGTAGTTTTCAAGGAGCAATTTAACGTAGGTCTATTCACTATGAGACATGTACACTGGCCTCTTAGTTTCACTGATGTGTGATTCTCCGCACTCGCAAGGTATCCAGTAAATGCAATTCTTGGAATCGCAGTCCTCATTTGGTGGCCTGGTTTTCGTGAGGCTGCTACGGATAGTGTTCCCAGATCTGAAGCAGGTTCTGATGTTCTGTATTTGTAGAGTAGGGAGGGTGAGTGTAAGCCCACAGCACTTAGGACACATGTGACCTATTTTACATCATCCCAAGGAGTTTTCCTCCTAGGTCATCCTCAATCCTGTCCTTTCCAGGAAGGTGGGCAGGTCACTAGGAGACATCTCCTTGATATTGGCGGGTGTAGGCCAAGACTCGCCGGACACCACTCTACTTGGCAACCTTGAGGTGTCTCACGGTGGCCTACGCGTAGGTTTTGGAAGGAGCAGCGATATTACTGTCGTTGCGGGCCTTCTTCATCCTTCTTGGGGTTCCATCCGTGGAGGTGCACAAGTGAGGGAGCTTTCCTGCAGGGGAGCCTGTTTCTTGCCTTTATTCAAGGTGGAGCTTTTGGCGCCCGCCGCAGATAGTGCCCTTACTGTTGGAGGTGGAGTGGGGGAAGAGGAGGGTGCACTTATAGTTGCTGCCACTTCTGCGTCCTTCGCTCTCTTTCTCCTTTTGGCCTCGGCGCCGCAAATGCGCTTACGCCTTGGCCTTTTTATTACATCACGAGGTGATCTGCTATGTTCAGCCTTATTCCAAGCATTAGATTGGGGTGGACGTTTCTGTTCATCCCCAGCCACCGCCTTAGATTGAGGTGAGCACTTCTGTCCAGCCTCGGGATTGGTTTTTGTTTTTGTTGTTTCTGTTTTTGTGTCTGTTTCATTCATGTGTGTTCCCACGAGTAGCAAGGGAAGAGTTGGTCACCTCTGGCAGAGCCCAGCATTACCAGAGGTAGGCTGATTACAAATGAGGTTTCGCCCAGTTCCCCAAGAGGATCGTTCGTAACCGCATATCACTCTGCGGCCATTCAGCTGTCGGCACGATTCCTTACAAATTAGCTTAGGTAGGCTGGTCCACGGTGGCATGTTTTGCAAAGGCTTTTGGGGAGTTTTAGTTCCCCTCACCTTACTCATTTCTGTTACTGACCAGGAGTCCAGCGACCCCGTCCGTAAGGCTTCCCGGACAGGGCCGTTCCCCTATCCGCCACCTGGTGACGCCCCCACATGTGTCCAAACATGCTCTGCTATTCCTGATTTGCTAGTTTCTCCTCGCTGTGTGTGTTTCTTATGCGAACTTTCAATGACCTTTTAGTTTCACCGATGTGTGATTCTCCGCACTCGCAGGGTATCCGGTAAATGCAATTCTTGGAATCGCAGTCCGCGTTTGGTGGCCTGGTTTTCATGAGACTGTTACGGATAGTGTTCCCAGATCTGAAGCAGGTTCTGATGTTATACTTGGACCCAACCTTTCTCATCCTTTCAGACAATCCTAATGTCTTCTAGCTAAAGCTTGTTCCACCATCAATTGGGAGTAACCATTCCGTTGAAAGTCATTTTTGATGTTTGAAGGTGATTGACAATGTTTCATGATGAATTTCACTAGTTCGGACTTCCATTGTCTACTATATAAAATGATTTGAAATCCCTGAAACAACTAGAGAAGAATTAAAAATGAATAGCTGAAAATAACAATTATATTAAAGTGCAAGCACTGGTTGTGACGGCTTCTCTTCCTTGCGAGGCTCCTGTTGTCTTCTAGCCAAAGTCTTTTCTACCATCGCTTTGGAGTAGCCATTTTGTTGAAGATCATTTTTGACGATGTCTAGTTCCTTCTCGAGACCTTCCTTCGTGTTACAGAGCCCGAAAGCATGGTCTAATAGAGTCTTGATGATTCCTCTTTTAGTCGATTGATGGTGGTTGATTTCGTGGTTCAGATACTGTCCCGAATTTGCTGGTTTCTCCTTGCTCTAATCCGGAATAGCAGAGCACGTTTGGACTCATCAACATAATATCAAGTGGGCTCAATCTGAAATCATCCACAAAGAGGAACACTGGTTTAGGAGAAAATTCAAAGAAGCCGCGTATATGTTGTCCAACAACGCATTTAGTCAAGCTAGCGTAGAGATACGTAACATATGGAAACCTTTAATCCAGCGAAAAACGACCAACTCCCGCCAAACGGTCATCTCCCGCTAAATTCAATGAAGCGGAGAGAAGGAATAGGGGATAGGTGAAAGCACTCGAATGACCTATAAATAGTCAGATCTCGGCAGAGTTGCCAACCGTAGCGGAATTTCGCTACTGTAGCGGAATTTACTCGACGATAGCGGCGTAGCGAATTTGAACATAAAGTAGCGGAATTTCCTACAAATAATCAGTATTGAAAAAAAATGGAAGAAGAAGAAGCAGTGGACAGCACTCGAAGCTGACAGCTGAC